CCGCAGTCTGCTCTCTGGCCAGGAGGAGCAGGCTCTAGTTCACTGATGGCAGTCCCCCTGAGGTGTGCAGGACCACCTGCCCCCTGCCCCACACCCCATGGCCTGGGGGTTCAGCCCTCGCTGCAGTTCTGTGAGTCACTCAGGCCCTTTCCTGCCTGGGTCAGGTTTTGTTTCCTTTGCCTGCAAGTAAAGGCTTGAGAATCGTCACTGGTGCACTGAACCCATGGAGGGATCAGGTCTCAGGGCCTCTGCTTCCAGCTCTTTGATCTTTTGTCTCTACCCGTTTGCCCGTTCAAGGCCAGGCAAGTGTGGGAATCCCAAGCATGAAGCTAAGATTCCCGAAAGTGGAAAGGTACTTTGAAAGCTGCCATTTACTCTGTGCTACAAGAGGATTCCAGCTTAAATGGTGGTACCTGGGGCACGTGGCAAGGAGGCCTGGGTCCCTCAAGGTTGGGGACAGGAGGGGCTGGGGAAACTGTGGTGAACAAACCAGTCACCCTGTCTAAAGAACAGCAGCTACTACCCAGCTCCAGGAAGTGCTTCCACGTGGTTAGAAATGGTCATTTTTAAAGAGAAGCCAGGGCCGGGCGTGGTGGCTCAAGCCTGTAATCCCAGCACTTTGGGAGGCTGAGGTGAGAGGACTGTCTGAGCGCACGGGTTCAAGAACGGCCCGGGCAACCTGACGAGACCTCATCTTTACAATAAATAAATAAATAAATAGCCAGATGTAGTAGCACGCGCCTGTAGTTCTGGCTACTTGGAAGGCTGAGGTGGAAGGATCACCTGAGTCCTGGGGTGGCTGTGAGTGTGCCACTACACTCTAGCCTGGGTGATGGAGTGAGACTCCAACTCAAAAAAAAAAAGCCTGATACCCACATATTATTTTATTTATTTGTTTATATTTTTTTGAGTTAGAGTCTCACTCTGTCACCCAGACTGGACTGCAGTGGCCGCTCCTGGCCACCGCAGCCTCGACCTGCTGGGCTCCGGCGATCCTTCTGGCTCAGCCTTCCAAGTAGCTGGAACTACAGGCGTGCGCTACCACACCCGACTAATTTTTTGATTTTATTGTAGAGATGAGGTCTCGCCAAGTTGCCCAGACGGGTCTTGAACCTGCAGGCTCTGGCAATCCACTCACCTTGGCCTCCCAAAGCGTGGGACTACAGGCTGAGCCACCGAGCCCAGCTGATACCCACATTTTAAATGTGAAATCTGATTCTTTGTTTTTTGGTTTGTTTGTTTTTGTTTTGTTTTGTTTTGAGATGGAGGCTCACTCTGTCGCCCAGGCTAGAGTGCAGTGGCACACTCATGGCCACCACAGCCTTGAACAGCTAGGCTCAGGTGATCCTTTTGCCTCAGCCTTCCAAGTAGCAGAACTACAGGCATGCACCATCATGCCCAGCTAATTTTTTGATTTATTGTAGAGATGAGGTCTCGCCAAGTTGCCCAGGCTGGTCTTGAACCCTTGGGCCCAGGCAGTCCTCTCACCTTGGCCTCTCAAAGTGCTGGAATTATAGATGTGAGCCACCACACCCGGCCTGAAGTCTGATTCTTAAATGCTGGTAGCTATATTTAAAAACATTTAGCCAGATGCTGGCAACTACATTTAAAAAAATGTAGTGGGGTACGTGGGCTCATGCTGGTGTTCCCAGCTACTTGGGAGGCTGAGGCAGGAGGATCACTTGAGCCTAGGAGTTCAAGGCTGCAGTGAGCTGTGATCTTGCCTGTGAATAGCCCCTGCACTCCAGTCTGGGCAATATAGTGAGACCCTGTCTCACACACAAAAATAAAAGAACATTTAAACATATCTCAGGCCACTGTCAGCAGCCTCTGGTCTTGACTCTAAATCTTTGCTGAGCCATGGAAATCCCTCACCGCCTGGGCTCCCAGCTTCCCCTCTGTACTTTCTCTGACAGCCTGCAGCTGTGCCCACCCCAAGACGGTTCCTCTGCAGGCCCCTCCAGTGTGGGCCACTTCTCTCCCCTGCTGCAAGCCCCTGCCTTTTGTACTTATTGTGGACCCCTGGGCCCTCCTTCCCCCTCCTTGTCTCCCTGGCTCTGACCCTGGCCCACGGTGCTTGCCCAGAGCCACTGCTGTCCCAATGTGCTTCCTACCTCCAAGGCTTCCCACACCCTGGTCTCTCCATTCCTCGGCCTCCTCATCTCCACTCACTCTCATGAGCATACCCGGGAACCGCAGGGATGCAGGGGTGTCAGCCCTCTTATCTGCCAGCCCACCTCCTCAAGTCCCGCAGTTCATGGAGTCCACTGAGACCTTCAGTGCATTAGCCTTACCACCTGTCCTCGGCTCCCCTCACCCAGCTTCGATTCCACGGCCCTCCATTGCCATCACTCCTGGCACTACCGTGGCTCCCTGTCCCTCTCTGCTGTGCCAGACTCTCCTGGCTGAGCTCCGGCTCCCCCCACTCTGAGCTTGCACCCTGCTTGCAGGCTACCTGGTCTCACTGAAACCTGTGCCACTCACCTCACGTGGAACCTGATACTTTCCAGAGACCCTCACGCACTACCTTGGTGTGGTCTTGTTCCAATCTGGAAGACCACTTGTTCCCTCTCCCCTCGTCTCAGACCTCCAGCCCTGGCCCCCATCCTCATGCTCTGCTCATTAAGGAAACAGAGGCGCTGGCCTCCACTGTTCAAGCCATTTGAACGTGGGGGACAGAATTTTCCCCTGGGAATTGTGAGGAATGAGAAAAATCACGTAAAGCTAGCACACCGGAGCTGCGGCACAGGGCTCCAGAGGTTTTCCAGGAAGCCTGGCCCACATCAGCTCTAGCATCCTTTGCACCTAAGCACAGGTGGCCGCAACCTGCCCAGGGCATCCACCTGGACAGGGACGCCCCATGTGAGATGCATTCTCCAGACCAGCCTCCAGAGGGCGCCACCACCACAGCACGGAGCCCTCTATGCCCAAGCCTGCTGCCGCGCCAACTGCCCACCTGTGTGCCGGGAACGAGCCAGTGTTGTTTTGCAGAAGAGATTCTGTCCCATCTCAGGCAGGACCCTGCATACGACAGGTACCTTCACCTCCCCTTCATCCAGAGGATCTGACTCCTATGATCTGCAGCCCAGCACCCAGGGCGTTTGCCTGGAAGGTGGGCAGAACTCAGCCTCCTCCCCACCTGTCAACTACTGAGCCTCCAGAGGCGGAAAGAGATGGGCTGCACATAGGTGCATGTGGGAGTTGGAGCTCAGGCTGGTCACACAAATACTCTGGCTGGCATCTTAGCATTTTTCAGGAGGGAGGTGGGAGATTGGGGACACCCCTACAGAACCCGAGAGTGCTCACCACAGTGGGGACCACCACCTCTGTAGTCCCCTATCCCCCACTGCAGATCTCACTTGCAGGGCACCTGTGCCTCAGCATCCCTTCACAGGCAGCTCCTGGAAGAGGAAGCAGAGACTGGACGGGGCGGCCCTCCTGCCCTGGCCATCCACTCCCTGGTGCCAGGCATCTTGTGTGTTCCCTGGTCTGGGGGCTGTCATCCTGGACAGTGACCTTGGGCAAGCAAGACTCCACCCATCCCTGGCCTGTCTCCCCACCCAGGAGTTAAGGGGATCACACTACATTGTCCCACCCATGGCCCCAGAAGGCAGGGCAAGTTCCAGTGGCGCGGGTCAGAGGTCGCCTGCCCACCTGGCTCACACCTGCAACTCCTGTTTGGCCAATAGTGGCCTGGCTTCTCCAGGACCAGGTGTGAAGCTGTCCTGAGCACAGGCTGCCTGCAGAGGGGAAGGGATGCCTCGGGAAGGGCTCAGCCCTCCCCCCTCGCAAGACAGGACCTGCTCCCTGTCCAGGACCTTTGTGGAGGAAAGTGTCAGGCTGCAGGGTTTCTGTGTGCGTCCCCAGAGCAACCACTTGGGAAACCCACTGGAACTTTTTGAGTTGGAGTCTCATTCTGTTGCCCAAGTTGGAGTGCAGTGGCACACTCACAGCCACCCCAGTGTCTACCTGCTGGGCTCTGGTGATCCTTCCGCCTCAGCCTTCCAAGTAGCTGGAACAACAGGCACATACTACCACACCCGGCTAATTTTTGATTTATTGTAGAGATGAGATCTCGCCAAGTCGCCCAGGGTGGTCTCAAACCTGCAGGCTCAGGTAATCCACTTGCCTCAGCCTCCCAAAGTGCTGGGATTACAGGCTGAGTCACCAAGCCCGGCCATGGAACTTGTTACCAATGCAGATGCCCAGGCAGACGGGTCCCTTAGCTCCCCTTTTCCTCCAGGTACCCCCAGTGGGCCCTCCTGGCCTGTCCTTATGGGACAGGCAAGTGGGGGTGGGGGTCACCAAGAGGATTCTGCAGCAGGCCCAAGTCTGTGTCCACCACCAGGGCAGACCCACTTGGCTTCCTGGTCGTCCCCTCAATCCCCTGGAGGCTGCTAACAGCCTCAGGCCTCACCCTGACTCCCGGGATCCTGCTCAGAGTGCTGGAGTCATGCCACCTACACAGCTCTGCCCTGTGGTTCGCCTGCTGGGAAGACCTAGGCAAGTCACCAACGCTCCCTGAGCCTTGAACCTCCATCTGCACAATGAGGAAGGCAACAGGTGGAATGGAGGCCCAGGGCAGATGCCGCAGCCTGCTGAACCATGAGCAGTAGCCGAGGTCTGCTTCGGGCCACTCTTCAGTGAGGTGGTGGCATCCAGGCCCCTCTCCTTGGCTCCCCCACTGGCAACCCCACCCACAAGCTCACCCCAGCCTCACCTGCCCTTGCAAAGGTCCATAATGCGCAAACCTCAGGGCTGGGCAGATTCATATTGGTGTTTTTATTGGATTTTCCATGGGCAACCTGGATGCCTTGAGCTGCCTTCTGGCCTCCCCATGGGGGCTCCAGCTGGGAGCCGCCAACCTTGCACCGTCCTCTCTTGCAACAACAGGGTTCCCTGGGCTCAGACTGCTTCCTTGAGAGACAGACCCAGTTTTCCCAGCCTCCTCTTTGTGCCAGGCTGCCCGGCCTGAGGCCCCGCCAGGTGTCCCAGGTTGCAGACTCCAGCTTGGATGCCCTGGTAGCACCTATCCATCCTGAGCACAGCAGACCCACCACAGCACAGCGCTGCGGGCTCTGACCTACATCTTGGTGTTGAGGTGGAAGGAGAAGTGGGGCGCGGCATAGGTGGTAACCGGTGGTGCGTGCCAGGCAGACGAAGCCGGGCAGAGTCTGTGGCGGAGGGCACTGTCAAAGGACACGGGGGGGAGGTGCATCAGGCCGGCAGCCATGGGTGATGGGCCTGTAGTGGCCAGGAAGTGGGCCGGGAAGGCCGGGATGACCAGAGGGCTGAAAGGGAGTGTGGCCTGGCCCTTTAAGGGGTCCGGGGGGCTGGTGCAGTTCAGTGGGCAGCGCAGTATGGTGCCCCTGTAGGCCTCCGGGGGGGCCGGTCCCAGAGGTGGGCCCAGCAGGCAAGAGACGGCCAGGCCGGGCCCTGCCAATTTGGGCCCATACTCCTTGGTGTCCACTTGCTTAAGAAAGGGAGACACTGCCCGCAGTTTCTTGCCACCATGGGCAAAGCTCTCTTCCTCCAGGCTGTGCTTGTTGCTGAGGCCTGGGCTGCTGGGGAAGGTGGGTGGGGGCGCCGGGCTCTTGGCTGGGACCTTGGCCATGGGGGACACCCAGCAGGCTCTGGGCTTGGGGTAGAGACTGCCCTTTCTGGAGCCACTTTTGTGGAATGCAGAGGGGCGGTTGGCATCGCCTCCCCACACCAGCTGGGGCTCTTTGACTGACAGTCCCTCCTTTTGACAAGGAGGCCCCAACACCACCCCATCTTTAAGGCTGGAAAAGAAGTCCCGGGGGTGCTGGCTGACAGGCTTTAGCACCTCAGTGGGGTAGCTGTGGAAACAGCCCGTGAAGATAGGGGCTGTTGGACAGGGGCCCATCTGAGCCCCCTCCCTGAGGCTGCCACCAGGGGCCTGCAACCCCTCCTGCGGGGTCAGCCGGTGCCTGGAATTCTCAGCCAGCCCTCCTGGGCTCTGGGGGCTTTCTGGGGGGCAGGCAGCTGGGGGTACCTGGGACTCCCCAGCAGGGCTGCCTGCCCCATGGCGACAGCCTTCCTCCTGGCACTGCAAGGCCTCTGCCTTGGTCACCTGGGCCAGGAGCTTCTTTTTGGCCAGTGGTGACATGATGCCATGTGTCCCTTTGCAGTAGAAGCTGGACAAGAGGCGCTTGTAGGCCTCAGGGCAGCAGCTGGCACCTACAAAGGGCAGAGAGGGCCCAGAGGCCGGTTCTGTGCTGTCCCTGGAGGGGTCCGGGCTGGGAAGTGGAGCCAGTTCGGTGACATCTGCTTTGGTCTTTGCTGGCATCACCTAGAATGAGAGAAAGCCATGCCTCAGGGATGTGAGCCATATGTCCTGACCTGGGCACCTGGAGGCAGCAAGTCTGGGGGGTGCCCGGGAACCCCTCCTAGTCCTTGCCGTGCCTTCATGCAATCTTCATAGAACCCTGTCCTCCTAGTGGACACATCCAGTGTCAGGACACAGGGCCTGGTGTGGGTTGGAGTCCAGAACCCACTCACACAACCATCTGCAGAGCAGCTGGAGCCCCCTCAAGTTTCTGCCTCTGGAGCAGGTTCAGGGTGCTCTGTGTGGGGAGCCCGGTAGCCACAGTAAGGGCTGGGGTTTTGCTGCAAGAGCCCAGGGATGGTGGCACCCAGCGGGCTCAGTGCTCACCTGGTCCATTCGCTGCTCCTCCTTGGTCTTTTTTGGTCTGTCGGTGGCCCCATCATCCCCTTGCGGCTCCTTGGCCATCTTGTATTGCTTCCTGGGCTTGGAGGGGGGTAGCGGCTTGTCATCCTCTCCCTTCAGGTGCCGCACGTAGGGGAGGACCAGCCTGGAGAGGAGCCGGGCGTGTCACCAGGAGGCCAGTGCCCACCCCCCGGCTGCCTCCTCCCCACCCCCAACAGGAAGATTCTTTCCACCCCAAAGCTGTCAGCTCCCTCTGATCGCACAGCCAGCCCACAGCTCTACTTCATGGAGCCGAGCCTGGCCACGATAAGGATGGAGCGTCCGCGCTGCCCCCTGGCCCCAACGGCCTGTGGCCACACCCCGCCCCCTCTGGACACCTCGGCATATCCAGCCCTCGCAGCCCCACCACATGCTCAGCAAGGCCCTAGAGGCAAGGCCCAGGTGGCCTGCAGCGGCTGTACCTC